TTTCTAAGTGCCTTTTTGCTTTTATTTTTATAATTTTTAATTTTAGAATTAAAGTTTTAAGTTTGAGTAAAGAAGAATTTTATTCAGCTAGTTTAAAAAAAATTCCCAATTGTTGATCCTGTTTTCAAGTTATAATGAATTTGGATTTAGGCATTAAAATCCCAAAATAGTCCTATTTGTTTCAGTAAACATGGTTATTTCATTACTGTAGAATATAATGGGATAGTCCTAGGGATATTGTAGCTGAAAGCAAGGAGTACCAGAAGAATGTCTATATTTGTTTCATTGATTATGCAAAGGCATTTGACTGTGTGGATCACAATCACCTGTGGCTGACTCTGAGAAGAACGGAAATCCCAGAACACTTGATTGTGCTAATGCGAAATCTGTAGTTGAACCAGGAGGCAGTTGTCAGAACAGAGCAAGGAAGCACTGCATGGTTCAAAATTGGGAAGGGTGTACGCCAGGGCTGTATCCTGTGTCCGTACCTTTTCAATCTTTATGCAGAACAGGTTATCCAGGAGGCTGTGCTCTATGAGGAGAAATGCATCAGGATTGGAGGAAGAATCATCAACAGTCTGCATTATGCAGATGACACAACCTTGCTTGCTGAAACTGAAGAGGACCTGAAGCACTTGCTGCAGAGGGTCAAGGACTGCAGCCTTAATATGGACTGAGGCTCAATGTCAAGAAGACAAAGATTCTCACCACTGGCCCAACTGACAGCATCATAATGAATGGTGAAGAGATTGAGATTGTTCACAGTTTTGGTTTGCTTGGCTCCACAGTTAACACTCTCCGCACCGGCAGCCAGGAAATTAAAAGACGTATTGTGATGGGAAAGTCTGTGGTTAGAGACCTCTCTAAAATGCTGATGTGCAAGGATGTCTGTCTGGAGACTAAGGTGCGCCTGATACGTGCCGTGGTCTTTGCAGTCACTTGCTACGCATCGGAGAACTGGACAATAGAATTGATGCCTTTGAGCTGTGGTGTTGGAGAAGAGTATTGAATACACCATGGACTGCTAGGAAAACAAATAGGTTTTTCCTGGAGAGGGTGAAGCCAGGCTGTTCCTTGGAGGCAAGGATTCTGAAGCTTGGTCTGACATACTTGGACATGTTGCAAGGAGGGGACCAGTCCTTGGAGAGGGACATCATGCTTGGGAGGGTGGAGGGGCAGTGCAGGAGAGGAAGACCCTCGATGAGATGGATTGATTCAGTGACTGGGGTAATAATGGGGGCAAGTGTGTCAGAAATGGTGAGATTGGCACAGGACAGAGCAGAGTTGAGGGCTGTTGTACATAGGGTCACTATAAGTCGCAGGAGGCTCGATGGCACATGACAACAACAACAACAACGGAATAGTAGAGTGCCAGAGTTGGAATCTTGGTCACTGTATCTGATTTCTTGAGCACATGAAAACATTGACCTGTATACTTTCCTTTTCATCCTATCCTACACTGCTTATTACTATTATCATGCCTCCCATACCCACTTCTGTGCCCATACTCCTGTTACCCTGATGGACAGTACTTTCCTTCCTTATTAATTTTCTCCCTTTCTACTGGCTCATTTTTATCCTTTTATACATATTTACAATTTAATTTTGAAGAGTAAATAAAAAATAATCATTTCATCCACTTGGCCACATTAGTTCCTATTCTATCCTGTAATTTCTGATTAGTAAATAAAATTTCTAATGAGGTACACCACAGAGACCCTTATCAGAATTAAGTTTTAAAGCAGAAAAAAGATCATCCCGATTGAACATGATGATGTTATAGCATGATGGTGTTGGAATCCTGGCTTAAAGAATAAATTATAGAAAAAAATTAATTACAGATAGGCTTTTAGGATTGAAAGAGGTTTTATCTCTGCCAAACTTTCATAACTATAGAACTATTGACATTTTGGAATAGATAATTCTTTGTTGTAGGGTCTGTCCTATGTAATGTTGGCATGTACCAGTAGGTGCCAGTAGTTCTCCTCGAATTGTAATGACCAAAACTGTCCTGCTGTTAGGTTACTTGAAACATTATCAACATTGCGAAAGTCTCCTGGGAGGCAAAATTGTCCCTTGTTGAGAACCGCTGAGCTACCCTGTTTCCTGTAAATGACAGTCTTTGGACTCTTGGGTTGAGGATAGACTTGACTGTCTTCTGTTGTAGTCCTTTTCAGTTCAGGTAGCTTCTTTGGGATGAAAGATTTTTCATCTGTGTTAAGTTTTACATATACCTGATCCACGCTCATGACTTTTTCAGTTACTTTATATATGTGCTGAAACTGGACAATGAGAATAGAAGACTAGAATAATTGATGGATTTATATCATCGTGGTCTGAAGGAATATTGAATATACCCTGGAATAGCAGATGAACACACATATCTGCCCTGAAAGACGTGCAGCCAGATTGCCCTTCACAATGAGAGACTGTTTCACTTTGGAAATAGTATCAGGGGAGATTAATTCCTCGGGGTATCGTACATGGTCATTTCAGAACAGAAGGCCTTTGATGAAATGGATTGACACAGTGGGTGGCTGCAACAGTGGCATAAACATAGCAACAATTGTGGAGATGATGGAACACCAGGAAGTTAGTGTGTTCAGAGAGTTGCTGAATAGGCACTTACTCCATGGAACTGAACAACATACTAGCTAAAACCTGCCACCTATAACTTTCTAGCTCTATCTTGAGAGCTTATAGAATGAATATGTACTTACTTACAGACTTTCACTTCCTCGAATTTAGTTAGCCTGTTCTTCCTTTCCTCTCAGTTGATAACATTAGAATTTGTAAAGGACCAGGTAGTGACTGTTTTAGGCTTTGTAGGTCCACCTGTTTGCAGGCTGCATATTAAGGTGTCTGTCACATAATCTTCTGTCTCCCTCTATTTTATTTTTTTCCACAACTTCTTTACAATGTAGTTGCCTTTCTTGGTTTGTACAGACTGGATTTGGCTCCAGAGGTAGTTTGCCAGACACTCCAGGTTAATGTCTCTTCAGTCTACATTGATCTTCAACACCAAGTGGTAAGAAGCAGTGCTGCAATCCCTGAGGCACCCGGTTTGACCGGCTGCTCCACGGGAGAAAGATGAGCATTCTCCTCCCATGCAGTTAACTGCCTCTGCAAACCAGTGGGAGGGTCAGCTATGAGTCTCTTCCGGACGGTATATAACAGTGACAGCTCCTTAAAGTGTAGTGCTCTTTGCTTTCTTGACAGCTTTGCCATTTCCTTAACTTAAAATGGACTTAATACCAACAAAGATTCAACAAAGATTTTTCATAGACCAAATTGCCTGTTGGCCTGTTTTTAGTCTTAAGCATAGAACTGTTTTTTGCTGTTGTTATGTGCCATTGAGTCACCTGCAATTCATAGTGACCCTAAGCACAATAGCTCTGAACCCTGTCCCACCCTGATCCAGTTTCACTGTTTGTGACACACTTAATCCCATGACCCTAGTTACAGTGTCAATACAGCTCATCCAAGGACTTCTTTTCTTATGCTGTCCCTCTACCCTTCCAAGCATCATATCCTTTTCCAATGACTAGTCTCTCCTGGCAACATGCCAAAGTATATAAGACAGAGCTTTAAAATCCTTGCTTTCTCTAGAGAGTAACTTGTTTATACCCTCTCTAGGACAAACCTCTTTGTTCTTGTGGTGGTCCATGGTATATGTTCAATAGTCTTCTCCAGGACCACAACTTAAAGGCAACAGTTCTTCTTCTAAGATCATCCTTATTCATATATTAATTATTCATATATGACTGTATGTTCGGTGCTTTTCTCCACCACCACAACTCAGAGGCATCAATTCTTGCTATCCAGTGCATAACAAGTATTTACATGGCCTGGATCAGGCACTTAGTCTCTAGACTAACATTGTTGCTCTTTAGCACACTGGAGCGATCCCTGAACACAGATTTTGTCTAATGCAATTCTTTTGATTTATTGACTGCCAGTGCTAGTAATGTTGATTTTGGAACCAAGTCTCAATATAGTCAGTTCTTGTTTTTGTTTGTGCGGCTCCTCTGGGGTCATATCTTATCCTCTGAAATATTAATGATATCTTATTCAACTTCTTGTTGTTAAAGTGTTTGAGAACATACCTAGATCCTTTACCCAAGAGCTTATAAAAATTTAAGGTAAAACTAAGACCTGAATTTCAAATCACAGATACTTAAAAAAGCAAGGGAATTTTGATGTGTGGAAATAGCTGATTTGAGCTGTTCTTTTACGGTTTTGGTTGAATTTTTAGTTCTGCATTATAGTGACCAACCATCAGTCAAAGGTTACTGACATTTGTAATGGCTTTGGAAGTCATAAGATAATAAATAAGTGGCTATGCCACTCTTGGTATCAGCAGACAAGAAATTAAGAGACAAATTGCATTGGGAAAGTCAGCTGTCAAGGACCTCTCCAAAGTACTGAAGAGCAGCGATGTCAGGCTGGAGACTGAGGTGCACCTGATCCGGGTTATAGTCTTCAGAGTTGTGTGCTATGCATGACTAGGGATGATATAAAGAGAATTTATGCCTTTGAGCTGTG